CTACTACTACTACTACTACTACTACTACTACTACTACTATTACGACGCTGCTACTACTACTACTAGTACTACTACTACTACTACACTACTACTACTACTACTACTACTACTACTACTACTACTACTACTACTACTACTAGTACTATTATTACTACTACTACTACTACTACTACTACTACTACTACTACTACTACTACTACTACTACTACTACTACTACTACTACTACTACTACTACTACTACTACTACTACTACTACTACTACTACTACTACTACTACTACTACTACTACTACTACTACTACTACTAGTTCTACTACTACGACTATTACTACTACTACTACTACTACTACTACTACTACTACTACTACTACTACTACTACTACTACTACTACTACTAGACTACTACTACTACTACTACTACTACTACTACTACTACTACTACTGCTACTACCCCATCCTCTTATTACTCCTCATCATCCTCATCATCATCATCAGCATCATCAGCAGCATCACCAGCATCATCATCAGAATCATCATCATCAGCATCATCAGCATCATCAGCATCAGCATCATCAGAATCATCATCATCAGCATCATCATCGTCAGCAGCATCAGCAGCAGCAACATCACCAGCACCAGCATTAGCATCATCATCAGCATAAGCATCATCAGCAGCATCGGCATCAGTATCATCATCATCAGCATCATCAGCATCATCAGCATCATCAGCATCATCAGCATCAGCAGCATCATCATCCTCATCATCAGTATAATCAGCATCAGCAGCATCAGCAGCATCAGCATCCTCATCATGATCAGCAGCATCAGCATCATCATCAGCATAATCGTCATCGTCATCACCATCATCACCATCATCATCACCATCACCAACACCATCACCGGCACCATCACCACCAGCATCACCATCATCATCATCATCATCAGCAGCAGCAGCAGCATCAGCATCGTCATCATCATCGTCATCATCATCACCATCATCCACCTCCTCCTCCTCCTCCTCCTCCTCCTCCTCCTCCTCCTCCTCTTCCTCAGCCTCCGCCTCCGCCTCCGCCTCCGCCTCCGCCTCTTCCTCCTCCGCGGCGGCGCCCGGGCACGTCGCTGTGCAGGCGTGGCGCGCTGGGCGACACTCAACGCAAGCGCGGCCTCACGTGTACCCGAGCGGGTCACGGGGCCACTCCGCTGGACACCCCAGGTGGCAGGAGAGCTGCGACAGCCGCACGCTTGGCGATATCAAAGGAGTGCCTGGTGTCGCCTGTGTCTGCGCAGCACGTCCTTCCGCTGAAACCCCAGGGGGCAGGAAAACGGTGACGCTGGTGCGCCAGGCAGTAACCAAGACAAGGGAGATCTGGATCTGCGTGGCACCGCTCTCTCCACGGACGATGGAATGTGAAGACAATGGCACGTTCTGCACTACCCAGCGAATGGCGAGGTCTCGTTTGGGTCTACGTAGCACGAGGCTGGACAACACATGCGGGACGCGGTCTCGTTTGGGGCCGCCTCTGGCGCCTCCCGTTCGGGTCCCCGCAGAGTCGTGCTCCGCTGGACACCCCACGAGCGCACTAAAGTGGCGACACTTGCACGCACGGGCACAGCCAGCGACGGCGAGATCCCGAACAGGTCCCGGCAACACGGCACGCATGTGGAGCCCCGAAGGGCACAGCAGAGCAGCGAAAGGTGCACGCCTGGCAACACCGGCGGAGGAAGAGATTCGGAGAGTGGGGGAGAGAGGAAGGAGGCAAAGAGACAGAATGAGGCAGGAGCAGCAAGGGGTCGAGTCAAAACCCAACGTGGACTCGGGAGAGGGGTTGGAAGTTACGATGACAGAATGAGGTAGAAAAGCGTGTTCCACGACTCGCAGAGTAGCTGCTCGCAAATGGCCTGGATCCATTGCGTCAAGGCAAAGGCTCCGTTGCATCGAACATCGTTGCTTTTTGGACGTTTGCGAGTAGGGACTTTGCGAGTAGTGTCACGCGCTCGGTAAGGAGAAAAGGAACTCCCCCAGCGGCTGCAGGCGGTCGGCAGCCGGCGCCCGCGCACAGCCGCCTGTATGGCACTGCGCCTGGTAGCCGGTGCTGCGCTGGTGCGAGCAGGCTGGGCCGGCCCGACGGCCGTCGGGTCGCCTTTGGGGGGGGGGCGGGGAGGGCGTGGGCAGCGTCCCCGCGACTAATGCCGTCAGCACGCCCGATCGGACAGGCACGTGGCACACACACGCACACACACACACACACACACCTCCACGACGGTAGGTGCGAGCGCCTTCCCACGCAAGAGTGGGTGACTCGGCGCTGCGTCTGGAAGCCTAATCTGGTGCGGGGTCCGTGTGGCCGAGGCCGTGGGGTTGCTGACAGGATCATGGGTCATGCGGCCCGTTCCTGAGCCGCCACGGGATGACCAAACAGATGGGCCTGGAGCACGAGGCTTTCAATCACGGTTCAGCGGCGTATTTCACACAACGCGGGGCAGCCTGTGCGTGGGAGTATGAGTGGAGAGACCGCTCTCATTTGACCTTTACATGCCAAGGATCCTGCTCCAACCGTGGACTCGAGCTGATCAAAAGCGGGAGGCCAAGTTTGCGCGATGGGGCCTCCACCCCAGAACAGGTGCCATCATCTCCGTGTAATTCTTACCCCATTGATTTTGACCTAGCAGAGTTGGGCGTGACTGAAAAATATTTCGGGGGGCGGCAGGCGGAATGCTTGTGCGAAAGGCTCGCACAAATTAAAACCGTCTGTCGCTCCCAGAATGGCACTGTCTGGGGGTGTCGCCTCCCCCGCTGCCCCCCCTGCTGGGGCTGAGGTTCTTGAGGTTTCCAGCGCTTGTCGGTTCTTCGACAAACTCTGCTTCCTTTTCCTTATGAACAACTTCTCCCTGTCGCACCCCGCGGCCAGCTTTTGGGGCGGGCCAGGCGTTTCGCCTGAGACTTCCTCACCACTCACGACTCTGAAGCTAAAAATTGGCAACGGTTTCTTCAAAGATGGAGGGCGGGTGATTTTCAATATGTGGCTCTCGTCTTAGCGCAGCGCACATTCGTTCTGACAAATTGCCAGAGCTTCACGGATTAAGGGCGGTTCCTTTTCCAAATGTGGCTCTCGCCTTAACGCCGCGCACATTCGTTCATACAATTTGCAAGAGTTTCACGGATTCCCACGATCAACGTACCAGAAATGATGTTTTGGAATGATTGAGCACTATGCGGGTGCGACAGTTACGTTGATTCGCGGTGCTCAAATCCCCAAAAAGGCGTTCTGGCACGATCCAGGATCGTCAAGACGCAACAGTCAGGTTGATCCGTGGCGTTGGAATCCCGCGAACAATGTTTTGGCATGCTTCCGGGTCTTCAAACGGTGTCTTCCAACGAGGCAGATCCCTCAATAGAAATGAACCGTTGAGGGAGCTTGGAGGGAGGGTGTATTCCAACATCGTTGATGGCTCTTGGGTTTAGACTGGTCCTCCTCCTCCTCCTCCTCCTCTTCCTGCATCTCCCTCTCCCTCCTCCTCTTCCTCTCCCTCCGCCCCTCCTCCCTCTCGCTATATATCTCCATCTACCCTTTGCTTGACCTCTGCCTTTACCCTACCCCCACTTTTTTGCTGGCGATACCCAAGGCCACGCGAACGTCGATGTTGGCTCGAAAGGGGTTGTTGGCAATCTGGTTTTGCGACGCCGAACCTGGTCAGAACAAATGACAGGAACACGCAAACAAGCCTTTCCTACAATCGGGTTGGCCACAAACCACCCCCACCTAAAATACCGAAACCTACATCGCCGTTACATACATCGCCTTTAGCGTGCCTACGGCATACCCTCCCCTTATTCGGGTGATCGCCGTCCAGGGTCAGTCACTCCACACCCTTCACCATTCCTCTAAAATACGGCATGAAAGGAGCTCGGATGCACAGACCGAATGCCCAATTGGTCTTCGACAGCAATGGTGGAGAAGTGGACGTGCTGTTCGGTGCGTGCCGCCTGGCACACCGCGCCCGATTAAGACGCGATGGGCGCCCCTCCTGGGCGCATCAGGTGCACCCACCACCTGGCGCGCCTGGCGGTGAGTTCTGGACGCTCTTCTCTTGCACAGCTTGGATCTACAGTGTAGGGTCCATGGCCCTGTATGTTCGTTTGTTCGTCGTTCGTCGTCCGCCCTCGGCTTCCCCCTGGCCCTGGCCCCCGCCCCCCTATCCCTGACCCCAACCCCGAGTCGACCCCTTGGCCCTGGCCCCACCCCACTGGCCCGCGCCCTCCCCCAGGAGGAGGAGGAGGAGGAGGAGGAGGAGGAGAAGGAGGAGGAGGAGGACCCACCCCACCCCAACAGCAGACCGATTCTATCTTCGCTCGCTCTTCCCGCGGGCGCTGGGGGCCAGCTCTGGCCATCGCTCGGACGTCCATTTCCTGTGCGTTTTTCGGTTTCGTGCGTGGCTTCTTCGCCAAATGATCAAGGATGTTCCTCGATGGTCCTCGCCGAGGAAAAAACGCACACGTCCAAGCGATGCCAAGAGCTCACCCTGGCCCAAACCCCCTCGCCTGCTGGCGCCAGCCCTGGCACCCACCCCTCTGGCCCGCGCCCCTGCTCCCCTCGGCGCCATGGACCCCTTTAGTTCTCCTCCTGCGCAGCTGCGCTCGAGAGCTCGACATCTCGTCCTCGGGCCCCCCCCCCTTTTGCCCTGGCCCACGAGAACCCGCCCAGCCCCTGGCCCCTCCTGCCCGCCTGGCCCTGACCCCAGGCTCCCAGCATGGGCCCCGGCCCCTCTGCTCTGGCCCCTCCCTTTCGCCCGTGGTCGGCGGTCGTCCTCGCCGCCCCCCCCCCCTCTGGCGTGGCCCGCGGGACACCTCCCGCCAACACAAGGCGGCCTGCTCAGGCGTCCACCTCTTTTGGAGCCTCCAGGGGCCGCACCGGCCCTCCGCGGGCCCCGCAGTGCTCCCGCCTGCACGAGAAGCCTGGCACGCGGCACCCCCAGCGTCGAGCGCCAGCGCCTCTGCTCGCCAGAGGACTGCCTGCGGGGCCCGAGGGTGAGCGGCCAGACCGCCTCTGCACGCCCACAAACTGAGGTCGGGCATGTCCTCCTACAGGCGGATTTGGGACTAACAAAAAACTATAATATATATATATATATATATATACATCAACAAAAAATATGTGTATATATATATATATCAAAATATCCATACATATATATATATATATATATATATACATAAATTGATAAACACACAACGAAAAAAACAAAAACTGCTCAACCATAGTCAAAAATAGTCACAATGTCCTCCCCGGACTAGTGTTTGACTGTTTTTACCTAACAGCGAAGACTGATAGGTTTCTAGTGGTGTCAAAAGAGAGCAGCAGATGACTCCACAGGGGGGTCCGGGCGGGACCCAGGGCGGCTGCCGTCGAAGCCCAAATCGCCTGGGACATCCTCGCAAAATCGCTCTTGGCGCTGCTAGAACTCCATTCCCGGCGTACATGTTGGATGCCCGGAGCCAACTGTAGGCCACTTCGTGGTCTTCGAGTTCCCAGAACTCCATTCCCGGGCCACATTTTGGATGCCCGGAGCCAACTGTAGGCCACTTCGTGGTCTTCGAGTTCCCAGAACTCCATTCCCGGGCCACATTTTGAATGCCCGGAGCCAACTGTAGGCCACTTCGTGCTCTTCGAGTTCCCAGAACTCCATTCCCGGGCCACATTTTGAATGCCCGGAGCCAACTGTAGGCCACTTCGTGGTCTTCGAGTTCCCAGAACTCCATTCCTGGGCATGATTTTGAATGCCCGGAGCCAACTGTAGGCCACTTCGTGTTCTTCGAGTTACCAGAACTCCATTCCCGGGCCACATTTTGAATGCTGAGGCAGGCTGATGCTGAGGCTGAGGCAGGCTGAGGCTGAGGCAGGCTGAGGCTGAGGCCGAGGCTGAAGGCAGACTGAGGCTGAGGCTGAAGCAGGCTGAGGCTGAGGCTGAGTCAGGCTGAGGCTGAGGCTGAGGCTGAGGCTGATGCTGAGGCAGGCTGAGGCTGAGGCTGAGGCTGATGCAGGCTGAGGCTGAGGCACGCTGAGGATGAGGCCGAGGCTGAAGGCAGACTGAGGCTGAGGCTGAAGCAGGCTGAGGCTGAGGCTGAGGCAGGCTGAGGCTGAGGCTGAGGCAGGCTGATGCTGAGGCAGGCTGAGGCTGAGGCTGAGGCTGATGCAGGCTGAGGCTGAGGCAGGCTGAGGCTGAGGCCGAGGCTGAAGGCAGACTGAGGCTGAGGCTCAAGCAGGCTGAGGCTGAGGCTGAGGCAGGCTGAGGCTGAGGCTGAGGCAGGCTGATGCTGAGGCAGGCTGAGGCTGAGGCTGAGGCTGATGCAGGCTGAGGCTGAGGCAGGCTGAGGCTGAGGCCGAGGCTGAAGGCAGACTGAGGCTGAGGCTGAAGCAGGCTGAGGCTGAGGCTGAGGCAGGCTGAGGCTGAGGCTGAGGCAGGCTGGCTGAGGCTGAGGCAGGCTGAGGCCGAGGCCGAGGCTGAGGCAGACTGAGGCTGAGGCTGAAGCAGGCTGAGGCTGAGGCTGAGGCAGGCTGAGGCTGAGGCTGAGGCAGGCTGAGGCAGGCTGAGGCTGAGGCTGAGGCTGAAGGCTGAGGCTGAGGCTGAGGCTGAAGGCTGAAGAGGAGGCTGAGGCTGAAGCAGGCTGAGGCTGAGGCTGAGGCAGGCTGAGGCTGAGGCTGAGGCTGAGGCAGGCTGATGCTGAGGCAGGCTGAGGCTGAGGCTGAGGCTGATGCAGGCTCAGGCTGAGGCAGGCTGAGGCTGAGGCCGAGGCTGAAGGCAGACTGAGGCTGAGGCTGAAGCAGGCTGAGGCTGAGGCTGAGGCAGGCTGAGGCTGAGGCTGAGGCAGGCTGATGCTGAGGCAGGCTGAGGCTGAGGCTGAGGCTGATGCAGGCTGAGGCTGAGGCAGGCTGAGGCTGAGGCCGAGGCTGAAGGCAGACTGAGGCTGAGGCTGAAGCAGGCTGAGGCTGAGGCTGAGAGGCAGGCTGAGGCTGAGGCTGAGGCAGGCTGATGCTGAGGCAGGCTGAGGCTGAGGCTGAGGCTGATGCAGGCTGAGGCTGAGGCAGGCTGAGGCTGAGGCCGAGGCTGAAGGCAGACTGATGTTGAGGCTGAAGCAGGCTGAGGCTGAGGCTGAGGCAGGCTGAGGCTGAGGCAGGCTGAGGCTGAGGCTGAGGCAGGCTGAGGCTGAGGCTGTGACTGCGACTGCCGTTGCCACTGCGACTGCCATCGCGAATGCGACTACGACTGCGAGAACAGCAGAATTCTACAACAGGATTCTCATCTGAATCTTAAGGGGAATGCTTCCAGATATGCTCCTACACATCGCTGTTAGGTTGCTTTGCCGGGATAATTGAGTAGTCCTCCTGCAGAGGGACAGGCCCGACTTGACCACAACTCCCGAGGCAATGCCCCTGGAGAGACAGGCATGGCCCCTTGGAGGCACAAGAGCAGATGTGGCACCGCCGCCAGGAGCCCCGGGGCGCCTGGGAGCCAGGAGGGGGAGCTGCCCGACGTCGCCCTGGGAGCCCGCGCAGGCGCTCGGAAGCCACACGGAGGTCGGAGGCCCCCCGGAGGGGTCCTGGCAGCGCCCGGAAGGACCTCGGAGGCCGCCGGGTCCCCACAGGGCAGCTTTCAAGACATGGGCTTGAAAAAATATAGGATGTTTAATCCATGCTTAATTGAAGACTAAATGTATGCATGAACTCATTGTTGTTTTGAATACTAGATCCCTGCATTTTTAATACATGATCCGCACGCGGAGCATGTATTAAAAACGGCACTGTACAGGCCCTCCTGCCTGTGGGGGGCGCTCGGGTGCACCCTGGAGGCTCCTCTGGAATCGGGGGCGGCCAAGAGGGGGGTGTCCAAGAGGGGGGGTGCAAGTCATGGCGGCGGACGTGCGCGGCCCAGTGGGGGGGGCCAGGGACGCGATGAAATAAGAAGAGGCGCCATGAAATCTCAGGAAAAATCATGGCCCACGCCATGAAATCCACCCCCCCTAGTCATCACCCCCCTCTTTGCCGCCCCCGATAGAGAACGAAGAAACGGCATAAACATGAACTTTCGACGGTCCGCGCAGATTTCTTGGATGTGTGCACCCCCCTCCCTGGCGCGCGGAGCGCGCGAGGCGCAGCGCCAGAGGCGCCGCCACGCCAGGGGGGCCCAACGCAGATCCACGAAATCGGCGCAGAGCGCCAAAAGTTTCTGTTTGTGGCGCCTTTCCTTTTTCGATCCAAGGCAGGGCAAGACGTGAGGGGCGCGCCAGCCACCACTCGCCATCGCTCGGACGTCCATTCCCTGTGCTTTTTTCGGTTTCGTGCGTGTCTTTTTCGCCGAATGATCAAGGATGCTCCTCGATGATCCTCGCCGAAGGAAACATGCACGCGTCCGAGCGATGCCAAGACCAGAGGGGGGTGGGGCCAGCCGGATGCCACGACGGCTGCCCTCGCAGGACGACGCCAGCGAGGCGAGCCGGGCACGAGCGCGAGGGAGCAACGGCAGCGAGGAGGAGCCGCGCGGCCAGAAGGCAGAGCGGGCCAGCCCCAACTAAAAGAATGGTCTGGGTGCGGGCTCCCTCCTCCTCCTCCTCCTCCTCCTCCTCCGCCTCCTCCTCCTCCTCCTCCTCATCCTCTTCCTCCTCCTCCCTCATCCTCTTCCTCCTCCCTCCTCCTCTCCTCCTCCTCCGCCTCCCTGCCTCCTCCTCCTCCTCATCCTCTTTGTTCCTCCTCCTCCTCCTCCTCCTCCTCCCTCCAATCTCCTCCGCCACAATCCATCCTCCTCGCTCCTCTCTCCTCCGCCCCTCCTCCTCCGCCTCCTCCTCCTGCTTCTCCACCTCCAGTTTCCCACTGCTCTTCTTCTAGCATCGGGTCGCCAGCATCTGCGCCGCCGGAGGTGAAGCTGTCCACCAGAACCTCCACAGCCGAGCCACGAGTGAGGGCGAGGCGAGGAGAACGAGGAGGAGAGACGAGGAGGTAAGAGGAGATCGAGAAGACGTGATAGACAAATGCGACGTGAAGAATAGCAGGGGTAGCGAGGAAGACAAAGAATCCGCCGACCCTGTCGGCGCGTGGAAGACGCTCTTCCGTTTGTCGTCATCGTCGTCATCGTCGTCGCCGTCGCCGCTCCCCCCTTCCCCTTCCCCTGGGGCCTCCTCCTCAAGCGCGACAGCCAAAGCGAAATTAAGCAGCAACGTCGTAAGTGAGTCGAATGGCAGCCCCTTCCCTTTGATCCCTTCCCCGCCACGGGGGCGGGGTGTCCCGGGGGCGTCCCGGAAGCAGGTTCTGGGGGGGGTCCTGGAGGGTTCACAGGGGTGGTCCGGGGTGAGACCCGGGGCAAGTCCTGGGTCAGAGTGCCGGTCCCAAAGCCCAGAACCCCCCGAGACGAACCAAGACTGCCCCAAGAGGCTCCCAAGACGGTCCAAAATGGCCCCGAATCGCCAAACAATCGGTCCAAGACGCCCAAGTAGCCTCCAGACGGCCCAAGAAGTTTCCAAGACGCCCCAAGAGGCCTCCAAGAGCAATCCTAAGAGGGTCCCCAGAGGCAAGAATCACTGATTTCCATTTGTTATTTGACAAATTTGGGGGCTCTCGCCTTTTCGGCTTCCCGACACTCCAAGACTGCCCAAGAGGCCCCCGCGAT